GGCCATCTCCCACCAAGACAGGGTGGTCCGAAAAAGAAACTTTTGTCATCCTTCACTCCATCACTGTCTTCCTAGAGACGCACTTACACTACAGTTATAAAACTGCAACATTAACACCCCTCCTTCAGAGTGCAAACACTGTACTTCCCATCTGCAGGACTCGAGTACAGCCTGCTGGTTTCCCTGAATCCCTTCATAAACATTACCCTGCTCTCATTCCAACAGCACGTCAAGTCCTTAAGACCATTTGTCTCCATTCGCTCCTATCTAACACTCTCATGTATGCTTGCTGGAAGTCCAAACCCTTCCAAACAATACCTTCTTTGCTCCCTCCCTCCAACCTTTCCTAGGCCGACCCCTACCCCACCTTTCCTCCACTACAGACTTGTACACTCTCGAAGTCATTGTTTTGTTACATCCTCTCTACATGTCCAAACCATCTCAACAACCCTCCCCTCAACCCTCTGGATAATAGTTTTGATAATCCCGCACCTCCTCCTAATTTCTAAACTTCGAATTCTCTGCATTATATTCGCACCACACATTGCCCTCAGACACGACATCTCCACTGCCTCCAGCCTCCTCTTTGTTGCAACATTCACCACCCATGCTTCACACCCATGTAAGAGCACTGGTATAACTACTTTTATATATTCCCCTCTTTGCTTCCTTGGATAAAGTACTTTGTCTACATAGACTCCTCATTGCACCACTCACATTTTTCCTCTCTTCATTTCTACGATTCACCTCATCTCTCATAGCCCCATCTGCGAACACGTCCACTCTTAAATATCTGAATACATTCACTTCTCCATATTCTCTCCCTCCAACCTGATATATATATATATATTATGTAAGGAAGATGATTAAACTTGACCTGTTTCCTGCTTATAAGTGACTTAACATTGATTTCTTCTAGCTTCGCCTTTTTCTTCAAGTCAGGAAAAAACAGTGTAAAGTTCGATTTAAGCAAGAGACAGGTCGGATTGAATCACCTTGGAAACAGTTACCTGACTGATGTTTCCATGTGAGCATTGCGAGGTATGGTCAAATATTATGTGGCTCAAGAAATCGTAATGACACGCGTTAGCTAACGCGTCGGTCTACAGTTTTACGACTCGCCTATCGCGAGTTCAATCCCCGCCCGTACCGTGGTAAGTATCATTTGGGTTGGGGGTAGAGGAAATACAATAGGCGTTGGCTTTCTGTCCGTTGATGCTGGAAACAGCGATGAATGTCTTCCAGGCTTCAGGATAGACACATTTAGTTACAAAAGATTATTCTTTCTAGTTCATGATATGACTCTCATTGTCCCAGTGGGCCATGCATGCATCAGATGGGTCGCCTCTTAATACATAGGTGTTCAAGTCTGTCCCATGAGTTCCTTCCTGTTTCTCTTCAGTATATTTTATCATAATGCCCACACAAAATCTTTGACAGAAGAAATGTTCCTCCATCTCGGTATGTTATGCAAGTCGGTTAAGAACTACTGCTGTGACTTTGGCCGTGATTGGAACCTATACTATAATCTTCCTGCCCATGGATGTGAAGTATAACTTTAGGAATATGGTTCACAGCGAATTACGAGGCTTCCAGTACAGTTAACCTAGTCGGGCGTTGACCTACAGTTTCACACACTCGCATATACACACATGCAATCTATTGAAAAACAGTTTACTGTGTATCAGGTGGACGTATAGTCATCTCCAGTGTCTAAAAGAGTGTAAATGCACGTCATAGTATTGATCTCCGTACATCATCATTTATCATAATATACCATATTATGCCTAGCACAATGCACCAGCATCTCACAATGGGTAAGATAAGGAATGTTAGGTAAATGGACATATTTACAACTAATGTGACATAGCTGCATCTGTGTCCATTTATCTAACATTTTGTCGGTAACTCTATCTTTATTACTAAAATAAGGAACACTGTACCTATAAATGTAAAATAAGACATTTGCAGTATTACGAAATTTTATCGAGGCAACTTTTCCTCAAAAAAAAAAAAAAATATTTAACATTGCGCATTTGCTTCAGTTTACATCACCTCACGATGTTGTGGATCAGCTGAGACACGCATTAAATGATTCTTCGTTGTCTGGGGCACCAAGGCAACAAGTCGGGAAGGCACATTTTAAATTTAGACAACGTTTCATTTAGGATAGGCCTTTAAAGGCTTGATGAAGCTCATCCCTAAACGAAACATCGTCTAAAAAAAAAAAGTCCTGCTCTGTGTCACTAAGCTTATTATCTTCTACTACAGCTCGCGCGTGGGTTCAACACTCAAACGTCATATAATTCTCGTATATTAACTTGATAAAAGACACGAATCCAGTATAATGTGACTATTGTCGAGGTTTCATACATGCAGTGAGCCTCACTGCACCCGAAACAATGGCTTACTGCGTGCACGAAATGTCGCCTATAAAAGATAACATCATACTACATTTGTTTCTCTCTTTACCATCGTTTCGTTTTTTTTTATATACCATTTGCTCTCATCTATGAATTAACTTCCTAAATTGTCTCTGTTTTGAACTATAGTGATGTCTGGACACTCACAGGTGCAACACTGTAAACAAAACATAATTACAGAGAAAAATGTACAGCAGTAAGTAAATAGTATGTTGATACTCATAAGAAGTGGAGAAACACGTCCACTTCAGGAATGTTTAAAAAATGAACGTTTAACAAGTCGCTATATGATCCTAATGGTTTAGCGCTTCTCCATTAATTTACCTCTCCAAGGCACATTAATCCCAATTTAAAACTATAAATTGCTGGGCAGGAAAACTAAACATTAGTTTTTCCCTGAAACTTCTTTTAAACGCTGATTCCAACATGTTTTACATACACGTTTAGTTTTTGAAACATGAACGTTATATATACATATTTAATTTTAGCAAGATTTAATATGTAATAAATCGCGTAACAGTACAATTACTCGTATAATTTAATTATGCAGTGCAAGAACTGCAAATTCTACAGTGCAAGAATTGCAAATTCTACAGTGCAAGAATTGCAAATTCTGCAGTGCAAGAACTTGAAAAACACAAAGTACGATTTTTTCCTGTAGGAAAAAGATAGAAATTTTAGGTGTTTTTATTGATAAGAGAGGATTACTGGGTCATAGGAGGGGTTTGTGGAGGTGATTCATGGAGTGAGAGAAGAATGCTCTAGTGGTTAACTGGCTCACAATGTTGGTTTTGGCCTCTGTTTCGTATTAGGAATGAAATGATTTTAATGGGAAATAGGCTAAATAACCGTCATTCGGGTGACCTAAATGCTGGAAATTTGGTTCCATTTGGGAACTAGAAATGGCCTAAATAGACGCGAGATTGGCGAGACTTAGTGGTGAAATGGCAGAGAGGTCGACTTTGGGCCGACATAACTAAGAGAAACGAGGGTTTTTCCATTAGTTTCTCGGAAAATGACCTAGATTTAGTTCTGTTCGAGCTCTGGAAGTGTCTCATAATAAGCATCCAAGTGGGAAGAATATGTTGCTGACGGTCGGTCTTCTTTCTAGGCCTCTGTAGACCCTCTAACAGCACCTACATCTTTTCTAGATGCACAAGAGCTTCGTCCAGACCACCGATTACATGTTACACTCCAAAAATAAGAAAATAGTGTGCGCTTTTTGGAAGAATTAGAGAACCTAATTTGAGAAAGTGAAACCAATACCTGATTAAAAGTTGCTGAATTTATCTATAAAAGCCCCCCCCCCCCCCAAAAAAAAAAAAAAACTATGATCGATCTTGGAAAAGGAAAACGATAAAGGTTTTCGAATCATCATCAAAAAAAATACAACATACCAAAAATGTCTAATGTAATATAAGGAAATATTCTTTATTTTTCTTTAAGGCTTTTGTATAGTAACTATAAGTGTCCATAACGCTATTTCAATGGCAAAATATATCTATTATACGTTTAGTCTCTGCTATACTACATTATGTTTTATAACAATATTTACAGGTCTGGAAAACACTTTATATATGATTTTTGTGTGACATAGGACACGAAAATGCCATTGACAATTTTCTTTCTAAATTCTATGTGAGCGAAGATAGAAAAACATGGTTTCATTCAAAGTTTCCAGCACAAGCATAAACACACAATACATCATTGTCTCATAATTAAAACGAAATTAATTTAATTTAGACATAGTTATCTTTTCCATTTAAATGTAACTCCTCAGTCACTTTAGAATAAGAACCCACGTTATGAACTCCGGTGGTCATAACACGACTGATAACCGCTGACACACGTTAGATTTACTTTGTGTCATCAGTCATTATTAATTTTCTTATTATTTCTCAAGGATTGAGAGATCAGGAACGTCTTTGGAATCTAATTTTGATTGATTATGATTAAATTATATACTAAGATTACATACATATATATATATATATATATATATATATATATATATATATATATATATATATATATATATATATATATAATATATATATATATATATATATTGTTGTGCCGAATAGGTAAAATTGGTCAATTAGCAATAACTCACTTAAAATTAAATCTTATCTAAAATTTTCTCTTATACGTTTAAAGATATATTTTTCATTTATGCTAATGTAAAAATTAATAATTTTGTACCAAAAGAACCTTAGAGAAGTTACCTAACCTTATTATATGAAGAGCAATTTAATTTAGTCTAATCCAAGTTAATATATTTTAAGTAAGTTTACAATAATTTAATACAATGAAAAGTATTTTTTCCCTTAGGTTCAGAATGATTTTTGGGAAATTATTGCATACAAAACTTTTCGCTTGCCATATTAGGCAAAAAGAGAGTTCCAATTTAAGCCAAAATAGCAAGTTTTACCTATTCAGCATGACATATAATTATATGATGGAAGCTGAGAACAGTCTTTACAAATAAGTATTATTTTGCACGAAGTCAGATGGACTTGTGAAAATGAAGTGAGGTGAGAACAGTAGTGTAAGATAAGAGTAGATTATAGGTCTCACCGACACAAGGGTTCTCGTTGACGAGGGAGTAGAGGCGGGAACACTTCTTATCCAGACCGTCAGGACAGATACAGCCCAGCAAGGGCGTCTCCCTCAGCTGCAGCCAAGCCTTCAGGCAGTCCTCCCTGTAGGGTAAGACCAGAGTCATGGGGTCAGTCAGTAACAAGCAAGATCACTCACACAGCCACTAGGTCACTAACTACGTCACTCAGGGACACTCATACCAGACACTAGGTTACCTGATCATCCTCCTGAAGATGGGTTACCTTATGCCAGGTTTAGACGGCTTTGCCCAACTAATAACTCTGCATCTCCCCTACTTCTGCCTAAATTTAAGTGGGGACATTTTCCTTATCATAATTTGCTGTAGCCACAAATTCCGCTGATGTCATCGCCAATTACAATCTAGTTGAGAATTTCTGGACATTCTCTAGTTTCTGAATATTCATGCTCGTATACTGTCTGTTTACTCTGACAAGTTTATCTTATAGTACGTCATGTATGTAACTTGAAAGCCGTTTTCTGGTTTGCTAGGCAATATGTTCGCTCTACTTTGATTACTCCAAGTTCCTTTTAACTGCACTAGATTGTCAGCCTCTGTTTGCAGAATCTGCATTCTAGCTCTTTTAGGAGTTGAATTCCAGCACTTTTTTTTTACTTGTAGTGTGCCCAAGTTGTGTGTGCGTGTCCGTTCTCGCGCGCGCGCGGGCACAGCTGCCTTTGTGACCCTCTCCCTACTAATTTTAAAGCATTTTACGATATTTAAAGCGAAAACTCTTGATGATCTTTAAGAGGGAGCGTGGTTTTTACAGAGCTTCCGTTGCTCCAAACTTGTAATGAAGAGACGTGTCGGGCGCTGTAACGATGCAATGACTTAATAATCAGGTCAAGATAATGAATTCGTAACAAGAACAACAGGAGTGCGAAAAAACTGATGAATAAAATAAAAGAGGCAGGAGGAAATTAGTGATTAAATAAAGAGACAAGATGGAGGAAGGAACTAATGATCATTAAACAAGAAAAAGTGGTACGAGGGAACTAATAGTTATTAAACAAGAACAAAAGTGGTACGAGGGAACTAATAGTTATTAAACAAGAACAAAAGTGGTACGAGGGAACTAATAGTTATTAAACAAGAACAAAAGTGGTACGAGGGAACTAATGGTTATTAAACAAGAACAAAAGTGGTACGAGGGAACTAATGGTTATTAAACAAGAACAAAAGTGGTACGAGGGAACTAATAGTTATTAAACAAGAACAAAAGTGGTACGAGGGAACTAATGGTTATTAAACAAGAACAAAAGTGGTACGAGGGAACTAATAGTTATTAAACAAGAACAAAAGTGGTACGAGGGAACTAATGGTTATTAAACAAGAACAAAAGTGGTACGAGGGAACTAATAGTTATTAAACAAGAACAAAAGTGGTACGAGGGAACTAATAGTTATTAAACAAGAACAAAAGTGGTACGAGGGAACTAATAGTTATTAAACAAGAACAAAAGTGGCAGAAAGGAACTAGTGGACTCACGACAGGAAATAACACATTTTTTATTGTGCTTCACACTTTAATTATCACACTTGAATTATGTCTTTTCATTCAGTAATGATAATAAAAATATTACATGACCTATAATTTTAATATCGAATAAGGTATGTTTTATTAGGAGTCCAGCGTGCTCCTACACACGGGGTCAGGGTTTTCCTTCTTCCTGTACACGAGGTCAGGGGTTCCTCTTCCTCCTGCACACGGGGTCGGGGTCCCCCTCCTCTGCACACGGGATCAGTGGTTCCTCTTCGTCCTGCACACGGGGTCGGGGTTTCCCTTTCTCCTGGACGCGGGGTCGGGATTTCCCTTTCCCTTACACACTGGGTCAGGGGTTCCCCTCCCTCGTGCACACGGGGTCAGGGGTTCCCCTCCCTCCTGCACACGGGGTCAGGGGTTCCCCTTCTTCCTGCACACGGGATTGGGGTTTCCCTTTCTTCTACACACGAGGTCAGGAATTCACCATGCTTTTGTGTACGGGATCAGGGGTTAGCCGTGTTCCAGTATACGTGGGTCAGGGATTCACCGTGTTTCAGTACACGGGGGTCAGGGGTTCACCGTATTCCTGTACGGGGGATCAGGAGTTCAGTGTTTCTACACACGAGGTCAGGCGATCACCATGTTCCTGTACACGGTCAGGGATTCACAGCGTTTCTGTACACGGGGTCAGGGGTTGTCGATGAGAACTTACTCTTATACCTGGAGTTTACCTGGAGAGAGTTCCGGGGGTCAACGCCCCCGCGGCCCGGTCTGTGACCAGGCCTCCTGGTGGATCAGAGCCTGATCAACCAGGCTGTTGCTGCTGGCTGCACGCAAACCAACGTACGAGCCACAGCCCGGCTGGTCAGGAACCGACTTTAGGTGCTTGTCCAGTGCCAGCTTGAAGACTGCCAGGGGTCTGTTGGTAATCCCCCTTATGTATGCTGGGAGGCAGTTGAACAGTCTCGGGCCCCTGACACTTATTGTAAGGTCTCTTAACGTGCTAGTGACACCCCTGCTTTTCATTGGGGGGATGTTGCATCGTCTGCCAAGTCTTTTGCTTTCGTAGTGAGTGATTTTCGTGTGCAAGTTCGGTACTAGTCCCTCTAGGATTTTCCAGGTGTATATAATCATGTATCTCTCCCGCCTGCGTTCCAGGGAGTGCAGGTTCAGGAACCTCAAGCGCTCCCAGTAATTGAGGTGTTTTATCTCCGTTATGCGCGCCGTGAAGGTTCTCTGTACATTTTCTAGGTCAGCAATTTCACCTGCCTTGAAAGGTGCTGTTAGTGTGCAGCAATATTCCAGCCTAGATAGAACAAGTGACCTGAAGAGTGTCATGATTATTACAAAACACTAGTTTAAACAAAAAAACACCATTACCTCTACACAGGTAGTGATATTTTTATTAGCCTGTTACTAGTGTTGTAACCTGGGAGAGTTCGGGATTACAAATAAACACTACAATTTATAATCTTTACTGTAAATATATATTTTGTATAAAAACATAATTAGTCTTTATCTTTGTTATAGCTACACGTTTTATGTACAAAGTCACAAAATATAAAGTAAGTAAAGCGTAACATCATTATAACCCGAGTGCTTCAGTGTCATGTCACTGCCATCTTCGGGTGTCTCACGACACTACCAATCCCAGTGTTATGACACTAACATCGTGTCTTATAACACCTTGTCTCAGCGTTATAACACCCTTCTCTTACTGTGTCACACGACACCCTTTGCTCAGTGTTATAACACTCCTTCACCATGGTACACCCACGACACTGCCTTGTCCCCGTGTCATAACAGTCTCTACGTCCTTTTCACCGCGTTATTTGACACTAAACACTCCGAGTTACATGACCCTTTCTAACTTGTGTGTCGTGTCACTTGACACTCACCGGGTTACCACACCCTGAACTTTACTGAATACTTCTGTATCAGTCACCTAACACAACGCTCACAGGGTACAACACACCCTGGCTTTTCCCGTGCCCGTGTCCTCTGGCAGAGACCCACAAGTCTCTGAGGTCTGCTTCAGAAGCGTAAGTCAGCAGGTGTCCACTCCGTGAGGCAGTCTGGTGAACACTCGCAGTAAGTGTGATGAATGGTTTTGAAAACCGACAAGTTGAAGAATTGAGACACTTATGCAACACATGGGAATCTTTATTGAAGAAACGTTTCGCCACACAGTGGCTTCATCAGTCCAATACAAAGTAGAAGTGGGTAAGGAGAGTAGAAGTTTGAGGTTACCTCAAACTTCTACTCTCCTTACCCACTTCTACTTTGTATTGGACTGATGAAGCCACTGTGTGGCGAAACGTTTCTTCAATAAAGATTCCCATGTGTTGCATAAGTGTCTCAATTCTTCAACTCGCAGTAAGGCCTAGATGTCACCAACAGCTGTATCCCGTAAGTCTGGTGAACACTGTCAAAGGCCAGCCACCAGCAGGTGTAGAGTCTGGTGAATAGTCAATCAGGCCCGCTCAGCAGTCCCTACATTGGGTATGATGACGTACCCAGTGGTACTGCCGGCCGGCAGGTTAACTACTTAACCACCAGTTTGGTAGGAGGCAGCAACAATGATCAAGAGGAAGAACTAAATTCATAAGGGTGATACAGGGCCCAGGTAAGAGGAAGGAATGGGCTTAATCAAATTTCATTCGAGGAAATGGAGGGTAGCTCCTTTTCCTTGGATCAAGAACCCTTCGCTAGTCTAAAGACATCAAGAGATATTCTGTCGAGGTTTCGTTGTGTGATGGTACCTTGATACTGGTGAATGGCTCCTGATCCAAGGAATTGGATCTACCAACTCCATGGATCAAATTAAATAGCCTTTCATTTCCCTGGTGTTGTATAGCCCCTACCGGTATAGCGCACCATGTGAGGCTAAACTCCTTATGCATTGTGAACCTTCGTAACATAGGCAGAATTGTGAAAAATTTTGGAGAGAAAGAAGGGGGGGAGAGAAAATGGGTGCAGAGAAAGGGAATAGAGAGAAAGGAGATAGAGAGAAAGGGGGTAGAGGGATGGTGTAGACAGAAATGGTGTAGAGGGAAATGGGGTAGAGAGAGAGAGAGGGGGTAGAGTGGGGGAGAGTGAGAGGGAAAGAGAGAAGGTACAAGAGACATCCCACTACCTATAACAGGAACCTGCACAGGCAAGCAAGTAGGCATATGGGTGAAGTTCAGAAGTGGACCATCATTAAATAGGAGGCGGACACACACACAAAAAAGCTGGTATCAGGTAGTGGGTTACAGAACTTGGTGGCCCCTGGTCAAAGACAGACAAGATTATTTGTCTGGTGAACATATTCCACCTTGACAGGATGGGACCACCTCCACTAGTAGTGAAGAGAAAGCTGACCTCTTTGCCGAACACTTTGCTGCCAAGATGCAAGTTTCTGACCCAGCAAGGAACTTTCGTTGGCTAGCTGCAAGAACTGTCAAAGCTGTCAGTGGTGACAGTAAGGCAGGAGGAGGTGTATCTTCCTGAATCGTTGGACCAAGAAAAGGCTGTGGGCCCAGACAAGTTGAGCTCAAAGTTGCCTAGTAGATTTGCAGACCAGCTAGCAGCACCTCTAACTCGCATCTATCAGTAC